GCCCGCGGATTCATAATCCGCGGGGCCCGGCGAAGGCGCCTCCACGGCGCCGCCGCCGCAAGCGGCGCGGCCGGCGGTGGGGAACCTGTATGCAGGGCCGGCGGCGCCGGCCGCGGTGGCTGCAGAGAATTCATTTCCAGCAAAGTACTGACCCGGCCCGGGGCTCAGCTCCCCGGTCGCTGCCGCGGCGGCGGCGGCGGCGCGGGCGTCCCGCGGGCGGCCGCGCATCGTGAACGCGGGCGCCGACGGCCTTGTCGCGCGGCTGCGCGGGCGGGGCGCGGGCGGGCGAGAGCACGCGGGGCGTGGGCGCGTTTCTGGTGAGGCTGGGCCCGCTGGCGCGTGTGTGGCGGGTTTGGTCGAGGGCTGTGGGGTTCAAGGGTTGCCTTGAGCTTTCTGACTCGTCTGCGTTGCAGCGCTGGTAGGTTTGGAGCTGCCAAAACCCCCGTCATGGATGCACGGCCAGCCAGCCAGGGCAGGCACGCCGCCGCACGCGTCCAGTGTCTGGTCCCCAGCGCGCTTTCCCAACAAATGCGCGCACCCCCCTCCCCTTCCCCAGGGCGGCCATTCCACCTCATCGCCATCAGCAGCAAACCCACCTGCACCCGCCCATGTCGTGCTCCCCCGGCCCCGGCCCGTCGCCGCCGCCGCCGCCGGCCGCAGCCAGCCGCGCGCCGATCGTGAACCCCCTGCCGCCGCCGCCGCCGAAGGTCCCATGGTCTGAAGCGTAGTATTCTCCAGGCGCCGGCCCCTCGGCGCAGTCCCGGCCCGCGCCCCCGCCTGCTGGCTTACAGCAGGCACCCCGCAACGCCGATCCAAAAGTGAATGCGGGTGCCGCCTGGAGCCGCGGCGCATCGGAGGTGTCGTAGTCGCCGGGGCCAGGGGGCGCGTCGGGCGCGCCGCGGCCGCGGTGGCGCCTGCGCGGGGATGCAGCAAGGGGCCGCAGCCGGGGCTTGCTAGGCGGCACGGGCGGCGGCGGGCGTGGAGGCGTAACATGCAGCACAGGCGGCGACAGAC